GGATTAAAGGCGTGTGCCACCATGCCCGATCCATGTTTTTTTGTTTTTTGAAGCAGGAGAGGAGGGCACAAGAACACCCAGGGCAAGATGTAGCTCACTACTACAAATGCCACAAGAGACAGGTGCAGTGATGCTCTTATGGGATAAGGCTAGACACAGAGAACTAATCCTGGACCTGCATCCACAGGGTTAGAAACAGATTACTGAAGTAGATAACGAAAGAGGACTGGACACAGCTAGACTTCTCAAGTCCTCAGGAGCCCTAAGTCAGTGTTTCTCTTTCCATCCAGCCTCCAGTTTAGGAACAGTGCCAGCAACATTTTAATTACTAGAAGCTAGGAATTGCCCATGTGGCATTATCGGTAGGGTAGATGAACTGGCCTGTTTACACATCTAATCCACTGTAATGAGTGTCAAGTGTCTGCAAGCCAGATGGTGACAACACAGGTGAGCCCCACACTAACCTCAGCACTTGGGAGGCAGCTTGCCTGTCTACATAGTGAGTTCTAGGCCAGCCAGGGCTAAACAGCGTGTGTGTGTGTGTGTGGGGGGGGGGGAGAGCCAGTCAGACACATACATGCATGCTCTGTGAGGGCGGCAAACGACTCAGTGGGAAAAGGCACTTGCCTCCAAGCCTGCTGACCTGAGTTTGACCTCCAGGACCGACACGGTGGAAGAAGAAAAGTGAACCCTGCAAGTTGTCCTCTGGGTCCACGTGTCTACCTCCATTACCCATGCGCAGAAATGAAAAACAAAAACACCCTACGGCACACCCCCAATTATTTCGATAGAAACAAGCAAGAAGCGATCTTCATTGAGAAGTGTTAGGAGTGAGTCTCAAAGGGGTAGGAGGGCTCCAGGGAGTGTGGCAGGCTGGGATTCTGCCAGTGCTGATTTCTGACCTGGATTCCATGGGTTAATTAGGGCATACATGCTTTCAACAGCTGCATCACCCCTCCCCCCAACAAAACCCCAAACAAAAACACACCAGCTTCAGTTTTCACAGCTAACACGGCTCTAGGTGATGATATTGCATTCCATTTCCCTTCCGCTCCTTTCTATAAACATGTCTTCTAGCTAGGTGTGGTGGCACACGCTTGCAATCCCAGCAACGTGGGAAGCAGAGGTAGGGCTATTGCTCCAAGTTCCAGGCCAGCCAAGTCCACCCAGTGAGACCCTGCCTCAAAAAACAAAACCAGGTCACTATGGCTGGTGCATGCCTGTAATTCTAGGGTTTAAGAGGTAGAAGCAAGAGGATTTTTTGGTTTGTTTTTCCAGACAAGGTTTCTCTGCGTAGCCCCGGCTATCCTGGAACTCTGTAGAATCGGCTGGCATCAAACTCTTAGATCTGCCTGCCTCTGCCTCCCAAGTACTAGGACACTAAAGGCATGCAACACCACCAACTGAGGCAGGGTTTTAAAACCTCAGTGTCAGCCCTGGCTACACAGTACACATGCCTTCCAGTACTGCCATGCTAAGGCACGAGGATGGCATGTTGGAGGCCAGCCTGGACAGAGAGATCTTGTCTCCAAAACAAAATCTCCACCCCTTCTATAGTTTGCACATCTTTTACATGTGATGCCTTCATGAAAAGAAAGCCTACTAAGTCCACCGATAAAACTATAGCTTGCAATGCTCCCTGTACTTGGGACAAGAACGTGTTGTTAAATCTAGGGGGATGGGGTGAGGGGAGCCACTGTGCAGCTAATGAAGTTTGCAGTGTCTTCAGCAGACTCCCACACCATGGCTGGGATCTGCACTCTGACCAGCAGGCCCAGGAAGCTAGCAGGCCCAGGATTACCTGGATTAGAGAGAGAAGCACACCTCTCTAATTGGATAGGTGCCCTCCAGACACCTAGTAAACATGCTCCTGTCCTTGGTTCTAGAACGTCTACAAAAGCCACCAGCTGGAACTCATTATACCCTGCCCAGGCCCAGGCTCCACACAACCCTTCAGGCTTGGCATTCTTGGCTTTCAGACTGCTGGAGTCTAGAGGAGAGGTACCTTTCTGGCTGAGTGGCTCTCAGCAGCTTTGACGCCTTAAAGCACTGGTGACTATGAGTCACTCCAAGAAAGCCTCATTCTTGACTCACCTCACACAGCTGTTTGGTTTCTCCGAAACCCTGGGACTTATAAGCTGTAACATGGCATCAGCACATTTTAAGGCATTTCCTTAAAAATCAACCCCATTATGCCCTGGAGTTAGACTTGGGTCTATTTTGACAGATTTATAGCTTAAGTCTGGAAGTAGTTTTATCAGTAAGCCAAGTTTATTAAATGTGAACTGAGCTGGATTGAGGACACTGGCTCACAGGTCTGTAGCAGAGAACAGAAGCCACTTTAGACATGGTCTGGTGGAGCCTCAACCACAAGCCCTTCCTTCTCCTCACTGGCACACAGGACTAGCACCTCTGCTTGCTCCTCCCATGGGAGCGTCTCTCACGGTCAGGTGAGCACAGCAGCAGCTGGCCACCTGGCCACTCAGGACTGGGACTTCCTGTGCTGACATCTACTCAGAAACCTCCTCCAGGAAGTTGTCACCATAAGGCTATGTGGCCAGTCCCCATTTACCACCCTGATTCAGGGGTAAATAGTGTTATTTTCATGATTTTGATTGCTACCTTTTTTGGGTGTTGGGATCAAATCCACAACTTTGTAGCTATTAGGCAAGTACAAAGAAGAAAAACGCTCGTTAGCAGATTCTCATCCCAGACTTGTGGATCACAGACAGCAGGACATGGGTAGTTCTTCCATCTGAGGCTACCTATATCCCTTGTGCTGCCATGGCCCACAGAAAAACTTAAGTAGCAAATACTTTCTAGTTGTTAGGAAAAGCAAATCTCTCACTCAATTGTGGGAGGCCAGCTCCCACCTTTTCCAGGGTTCCTAGGAGGAGGAGAGGGATAAGAAAATATGAGATAGAAAGACAGTGAGAAGACAGAAACAGGACAGCTTTAGAAGGACCTGGGTCAAAACCCAACGGCCCCTTCTGCCTCTTCAAAAGGGCTTTTTAATAACAATACCAAGGGGCAGAACAAAAGATCTCCCCCTCACTAGATCAAAGCACACTGCACAGCCCAGTGAAGAGCCTTCCAAACACCTGGTAACCACGCCCAAGGTCAAATCATCCCCCTGTGCAGCTCTGCCGGGCAAAGCAGGCTCAGCTTCTCAGACCCTGAGTAATTTGGGCCTCCACTCAATTGTCTTTTTCAAAGCAAGCATTTCTTTCATGGTGTGTAGCGTATGCACGTTTGAGAGTACACATGTGACCTGTCACCAGAGGACATCAGGTGTGTTTGTTTCTTTATGGCTTGACACTTCATTCCTTTGAGATAGGGCTGGTCAATGGCCTAGAAGCTTCTTTGAACTGGGCTGTCTGGTCTAGTTGTGGGGTTACATGCATACATAGCCAGGGACTGCTTTCTTTAAATGGTACTGGGGACCCGAACTCAGGTCTTCAGGCATGCAAAGCAAGTGTCCCTACTCACTGGGTCATCTCTCCAGCTCCTCTAACGGTACTTGTCGAGGCAGAAGGGACAACACTGTACACTGCGCTGTGGGACTGACTGACATTTACCTGGCCACACCCTTTTCCTTTCTTTTGCCTTCCTGTCTCCCGTGCGCTGGGATTAAAGCTGTGTACACCATGCTGGGCAATGGCTCTGCAAAAAAAAATTTTTTTTTTTTGGTTTTTCAAGACAGGGTTTCTTTGTGTAACAGCCTTGGCTGTCCTAGATCTCACTCTGTAGACCAGGCTGGCCTCAAACTCAGAGACCTGCCTGCCTCTGCCTCCCGGAGTGCTGGGATTAATGACATGCGCCACCACTGGCCGGCTCGGCCCCATAATCTTAAATACCAATGATGCACCCTGGTTATCCAGAGCCAAACACCACTTCTCATACTGCTTAGTCCCTGCGGAGGTCAATCCAAGTCTGCCTCAGAAGCACCGGGCTGGATTAACATCCAGCCCTCCCAAGGAGGGAGAAACAGGTTTTCATCTTCATCACTTCTGTGGTGCTGAGGATAGAACCCAGGGCCTCAGGCTGCTGGGCGAGCTCTACACTCCCTTGTGCCACATCTGCAGCAGAGGTGCACTCTGGACAGTGCTGCTACGTGTGACTGTCCTACTCTCATGTCACAGATCTTTTGTTTGCTTGTTTTTTCAAGACAGGGTTTCTCTGTGTAGCCCCAGCTCTCCTGGAACTCGCTGTAGACCAGGCTGGCCTCGAACTCAGAGATCCACCTGCCTCTGCCTCCTGAGCACTGGGATTAAAGGTGTGCACAGCTACCACCACCTCCCAGCCATGTCACGAATCTTAATGAGTGTTTTATGCTCAGTGGAGAAAAGGATTTCTAGCTTTCCTTGACTATCTACAACAACAAATAAATGTTGGAAGTAGTTAGACATGACTTAGTTACTCCAGGCAAACATCACCGCTGCATCCTGCACTCAAGATGCCTCCTATTAATCTTCCTATGGAAACAGAATGTCATTACTCAAGAGAAAGAATTTTGAGAACATGTTCACTGAACAGTTTTATTGTTTTGGGATAAAGCCTTGCTATTGGGAGGTCCACTGTGGACAATGAGCACCCCGTCAGTGACCAGGGGCTGTGAACAAGTGCGAGCTCGTGCTGCGTGAGCATGGGGATCGGGCCCTGACAGTTCTGGGATTGGCCTGGGCATCTCACTATAGAAGTATTGCCACAGTACATGCTTTGATGCTCAGAGTGACTAAAAATGTGGTCAGTAACGTGATCTGTGGGTCCTGCGAAAGGGTAAGTTGTTCACATGCAGGAACACAGTAAACTATGACTGTCAAGTACTAGATCTCAACAATGAAACCAAATTACAAAACATTCCCGCGTTAATCTATACAAAAGATATAAAATTAAAAAGTAATCAACCATCCTTAAATAGTCTGATTCTCCTACAGTGCACTTTCCCACTACGGAATGTTAATGAGAAAGGTAATAAAAATCAAAATAGATAAAAATAGTTAAATCTTTGGATCCCTTTATTCCATGGCCTTCGTTAAAAACACAAAGTGGCCAGATCTTTTTCACTATAGCTTAAATATCAAAAAAGATTTATTAGTAATTTACAGTTAGCAACAAACGTGTACACGGAGTCTTCAGTGGGTCACGGGCCCAGACTGTGTTAGTGATGTTTTACAGGTGCCGGACGATTCTGAAAACTCCATCTTCTTGAAGTAACACACGAGTCAGTGTCAGCACAACAGAGTTCCAGGCACGGCAGGAGGAACAGGTCCACTGATGCCTAGTTTTCATGTCTTAAAAAGGGGGAGGGTTACTTATTTGAAAATACAGCGAGGTACATTCTCGTCTATGATTATTTACATTCATACACTGAAAATATCTGTTTATTTGGACAAATCCTGTGATCTGCTACAAAATGAAGTCCATATACTATGCATGAATAATTTATCCTTTTTAGATAATGGAATAAAGTTATCAAATCTTCATTTGTGTTCCAAACATTAAAAAAGAAATCAAAAACCTTCAGCCTGAAAAGCAAGTGGAAAGGACCCACCCATAGCCCTGTTCCTCAGCACACCGACTTCAGCAAGGACACGTATGTTTGCTGACTTTAAACGTTTATTCTTTAAAAAATTAGTTGCTTTTTATACAGCTATACAAAGTTCTTAAATGTTTCTTTGGCAATGGAATATAATGGAATTTTACAACTATATAAAAAAGTTACCTTTGCCTAAGAAACAGTATTTACCTGTGTGTACATAGTTGACTGACAAAATTCTCTACCATCCAGCACCCTAATTAAGTGTCGAAATAAGCTACCTCATATTATAGGATCTCCAAAAAGAAAAAGATACACACACACACACACACACACACACACACACACATACACACACACACACACACACACCACACACACACAAACACAAAACCTTCTGTGGCTCAAAACACAGTATCACGGCCTATCTGCAGGCAACTCGAAGTAATCACCAAATACAATTAATTAGTGATAAGAAAAATCCTTTCAGTGATGAAAAAATACTTAGCAGTTCCATTCAGCTCACTGTAGTTCATTCGACTCTAAGCAAGGATTACAACCTTCTGCTACTCCACATACACTTATGCTCATGTTTTAAGACAAGCCTTCCTGCCCCAAAGCAACTGAGTGTCGCTTTGAAATGAAGCAGAAAAACAGACAGACAAAACCCAGTGCTGGTGACAGACAGACAGCAACTTGACTTCTTCATTCTTCACAAAGACCGAAACCACTTTCCAGGACCACGAAGAGCTAGGAGTCACCTATTTTCAAAGACTTGTTTGTAGACTATGCAGCAACTCTGTTGTCTTTCTAAAAAGGAAAAAGAAGTATCAGTTCATGTTGTAAGCCACGCTCATTAGGAACACTTTTTTCTTAGTTTGCTGAAGTTTATTAAGAGGATCTTAAATACACCCTCCTCTTATTCTCACAGAAAAAACCCGTCTCCCTGGGCTCTGGGAGACACTGCTTGAAGCTCTACATCTGACAGCGAGTGGCTCTGCTAGCTGCTCACTGCTTTCTAGTCAGCAGAGGCTGTGGCAGTGGCGGGGCCACTCTGCAACATGGAGGGACCTCACCACCTTTGGTTGCCCTAACAATTTAAACACAACAGTTAGGTGAACCTTCATTTAGTCAAATCTTCTGAAACAAGCATCATAAAATCCCTAAGTTTTGACATCTTTTACCAAGCAATACAATAATCCAGAAGGTTTCTCTCTTAAACTGCATGCTAGGAGAAAATAGTATTGGATTTGGAAATCTACTTTTTAAAAGTAACTTTAAAATGTACTTATTTTTACTTTTATTATCTGTGTACGTGTGCGCACGAGTGTGCCTGTGTTTTCAAACAGAGGCCAGGAGAGGGTACTGGGTCCCTGGAGCAGCAGCTACAGGGTTCTGAGAGTTGTGAACCCCAGTATGGTCCTGGAATCCACATTGAGCTCTGTGTTAAGAGAGCAGCAAGCACTCTTATCTGTTCAGCTGTCTCTAGGCCCGCAAGTAACTCTTCAGGGTGAAGAAGCACCTTGGCTAGCAGAGTCCTTGCCTACCACACATGGAGCCTGGGCTTTGTCCCCACCACTACACAAACTAGCCACGGCAGTGGCACAGGCCTCCAATAATAGCACTATGGAGATGGAGGCAAGACAAACAATCAGTCGTCCTTGGTTATATAGTGAGGCTCAAGGCCAGTTTAAGCCACATACAACCAGGCCTTAGAAAACAAACAAAACAAAAAAAAAATTATTTTTTTGGACAGGGTTTCTCTCTGTAGCTTTGGAGCATGCACTGGAACTCGCTTTGTAGATCAGGCTGGCCTCGAACTCACAGAGATCTGCCTGCCTCTGCCTCTTGGGATTAAAGGCGTGGGCCACCACTGCCTGGCTAACTCTTAAATTTGAAATAAGTTTGAAAACAAACTATCACCAGTAAGAAGAGCAGCTGGCTATGAAGGAGATCCCAGTGAGACTGACCCTAAACCCAGGTTTATACTCAGTACAGAGCCAGGGCCTCTGCTTGCCCTCCGCCCAGAAGCCACCACATAGTCCACTCTGTGTCCTTGGGATCTGCATGGGTCTCAGGAGCAGATGTGTGCTTTTGTTTCTGCAGTTGTGGAAACGTGCAGCAATCTCTTTTGGTCTGTCCCTTCCCTGTAGGGCCTATACAACGGAGTCTAACAACCGTTTGCATTCCAGTCACCCTGCATGACCGTATTAGAAGGGTTTGCAGGTTAGTGAAAATACAGGCAGTTGGCAGTGAAGCCCAGCATACAGCACCTGCGTAGCATGGGCGAGGCCCATGTTCAACCCTCAGAACCCACAAACAGATAAGAGGATACGATGGAGTCTATGTAGATGCAATGCTGTTTTATAAGGGATTTAAGCATCCATGGGTTTTGGAGCCAAGCCCCCTTATGGCCGTACTTTGTTGTTGTTGTTTCTTGAGACAAGGTTTCTCTGTGTAACAGCCTTGGCTGTCTTAGAACTCACAGAGATCCTTCTGACCGGGCCTCCCAAGTGCTGGGATTAACGGTGTGCGCCATCATGCCCTGCACCACACCTCATTTTTAGTGATGCACACCCCAATGGCAGGACAAGTACTTCCTAGTTGAAAGACTTGACTTCATCTGAGGGTACAATACAAACAATCTGTACAGTTACTAATAAAGTGAAGCACATACCACAAAGTACAAGTTGGCACAGAAACAAACGAACTAAAGATGAACCCTGTCCCCCATCAAACCTCCCAACTTCTTTCTTTTCTTTTTTTACCTTTCAGAAAGCAGTATGACCAATCCAGACCTTTTAGGGTCCAAAAGCCGTGGTTTTCTGAAAGGTTAAAAAAAAAGAGAGGCGAAAGAGAGGGAGAGAAAGGGGTAAGGGGAGGGAGGAGAAAATAAAAAGGGAAGGAAAGAGATGGAGTCATTTCAGATTCTTCCTCCCCATCCCAGTTTAAAAAATTACTGTCTGTGTGTGTATGCCTGTGAAGTCAGGAGACTTCTGGGACTGGGCTGCAGTCACAGGCAGGTCTGAGTTGCCTGGCATGGGTGCTGGTAACCAAACTTGGTCCTCTCTAAGTGCAGCAAGTACCTTTACCACGGAGTCACCTTTAGCCCCCATTTCGGAGTCTTCATTGTCTCAGTGCCCTCTCTGAAGAAACAGAAGACTCAGTTACCCACCATGGTGACTGAATCTACTTACAGGAGCATGAGACAGAAGCTGACTACACCCATACCGCAACCCAGACATCCCCGTCTCCAAAAAGAAAAAGGAAAAGCTAAAGAGCGCAGGACACAAAGCCCATGTGTCCACCATTCTTCTTAACCACACCCCACCCCCGGGAGGGGGTGGAAGAGAGGATCTAGTGTGGCTGATTCTCTATGGTTCTATCTTTACTTCTGTTAAATCATGTTTGTTTACCTTCTTCCCCAAACTAATACCCATGCCAGTGCTCAAAGTACTGAGTTGTGTACGGAGTAGCTGGCAACTCTAAGACAAATCAGATAAGCAAGAACAGTCTAGAGAGTGAGAACCTGAGCTGAAGGACCTTGTTGGTAACAGGAGCAAATGACTTGAAGCTAATTCTGAGCAGTCTGGCACAATATCCAAGACATAAAATTAACATAACTGGTCCCAAACCCTTCGATACTGACCTCCTTCCACAGAGACTCTCAATAATAGCTAGTTATAAAAACCGGACACAAAACTCAAGCCAGCAAATCTTTGCAACTGTCTTTTGCTGTTACTAGTGGATCTCTGTATAACAGGATTTTGCTCTTTATTTTCTTTCTTTGTCAAAAAACTAAGATACTTCAATAAGACAGTTACAATACTGCCTTAATTGACAGGCCTCTTTCATTAGATAAATTATACACAAAAGCATACTACATAGAGCTACAGAATTCTTCCCCAACTGTTGGTGAATGCCAATATACCAGAGGGCTCACAAGAGCATGCCATAATAAGAAAACAAGAGCCGAGTTGAGTTCTCTACAAACCTATATTAAGAGCAGTGACTCAAGAGCCAACCTGCTAGGCCCAACACTCAGCATCCTCCCTCTCGGGTTCTGTGACCTTGGATAAGTTATTTAATATCTCTGTATCTGTCTCCTTTGTAAAACTTAAGATAATAATAGAACCCGTCTCACAGAGCTGACCCGAGGCTTAAGTTAGTGTGTGAGAACTGTTCAGTACTATACCTGCCACTCACTAACTATGTGAAGGCCAACGCTTTCAGATGTACAGGTTTGCTTTGCTTCCTAGGGTCTTTTGGTGTTAATGTGTAAAAATCTAGTAATATGAAATAAAGGTGATATTACAGTTTTTCTAATGTACAGCTTTAGTGCTCCTTAGTGTGCTTCCCTTAAAAACTTTCTTTAAAGACAGAAAAGGTAACACTAACTCAGCTGCTAGCAGAACATTCCTATTTTTTTTAGGGGGGGAGTTGGGGGCAGTGTCTAAGCGATTCATGAAAAACTCATGGCTCTAATAAAAAGACAAAAGTCACCAGTCTTCCTGGTCTCCCTCCGCTGAAAGCGCAGTTAAGCTACAGACAGCACTCTAGCTGCTGCTCAGCCCGATGCTGCTAAGGTCAGGTACTATGCATGTACACACCTGCTTTTGCTTCCCTAGTGCTGGGATTAAAGGCACATACCACGCCCGGCTCTCTTTATTCATCAGTCAAGAAATTACTGTCCTAAAGGACAGTTAAAATAAATATTCCAACCATGTATAGTCTCCAAGAAGTTAAAGTGAAAGTTATTCTGATGCTTTAAGTTATTCTGCCAAAACAGATATAAGCAAAATGTTCTGAAGGCCAATCCCACAGCATGCAGCTATACTTACCCTATATTCAAAATCTGCAAACTCCCTGCCCCCACGACCACCTCTGAATCCACCACGAAATCCTCGAGGGGCAGTGAAAGTCCCTCCTCGGCCACTGCCACGTCCTCTGCCACCACGGAAGCCAAGGCTTCCTCTGCCTCGGTAGCCCCCACGGCCGCGATTTGGACGAAGCGGGATTCCAAATGTTTCAGCATTTAGCCTTCTTTCTTCAGCCCAAGTTGGTCTCCTTTCTCTGTTATACAAGAGCAGATGAACATCAGTGTGTCAACTCAAAAAAGTTCATCTCTCAGCAAATCTATGCATGTAGCCCTAATTCCCCAATTCTGGATAAATTTAATTGAGTTCTCAAAATCAATTAAAAAAAACAACAGTTAATCTAAATTCTCCCTAGCCTTCATGGCATGCATATGCCACCACCGTCCAGCCTCTTTCTTTTTTGTGTTACTAGGATAAATCCTAGGGCCTTGCATATGCTAGGCAAGTATTCCTCCACTGAGCTACATCCTCAGCATTTACTTTTTTAGAAAGAATATCATTTAAAACTTCTGAGCTGGGGGCTGGAGAGATGGCTCAGAGGTTAAGAGCACTGACTGCTCTTCCAGAGGTCCGGAGTTCAATTCCCAGCACCCACATGGTGGCTCATAACCATCTATAATGAGATCTGGCGCCCTCTTCTGGTGTGCATACATACAAACAGAACACTGTATACATAATAAATAAATAAATCTTAAAAAAACAAAACAAAACAAAAAAACTTCTGGGCTGGTGAGATGGCCTAGCTGATAAAGGTGCTTGCTAGCAAGCTTGACAGCTGGGTTCCATTCCTGGAAAACCACATGGCAGTAGGAGAGAACTGACCACCACACCCACTCCATAGAATGTGCACACACAAACCAAACAAAACTTTTCCATAGTAATTTCTTTTAGGAAAAGAAAACACCACTTAAAAAAAAAAAAACAAAACAAAAAACCAATTGCGGGGGCTGGAAAGATGGCTCAATAGTTAAGAGCACTGGCTACTCTTCTAGAAGACCTAGGTTCAACCCCAAGCTCCCACATAAGTAGCTCACAACCTTTTCCAACTACAATTCGAAGAGATCTGATACCCTCTTCCAGCCTCTGTGGGCAAGGCACGCACATGGTGTACAGACAGGACACACATGCAGGCAAAAGGCCATTACAATATACACAAAATAGAAATGAATAAACCTCATAAAAATTCACTGTGGTCATTAGGTTTTTCTAGGTATTCACTAAGACTTGTGAATCCATATAAAAATTTTACACATCAACACCCTGAGAGCACATTAAAAGACAGTACCTATTGTCATCACAAGAAATATTGTCAAAGAAGGATTTAGTTTTGTCGTAATAGCAGTTGGGTCCGAGAGGATCTTCCTCATCAGCATTCCCTTCACTGTTTTGAGTATCAACTCCGGAGTCTCCTTTGTCTTCACCGTTTACAGGTTTCTCCTGTTTCTCAAGTTTATCTTCTAACGGAAAACATGCAAGTTACAATTATAAACATCTAAGCTGTAAAACATTTTTACCTCACCAACCAAATTATTTTATGAGTAAAAAATAAAAACTTACCTTTTAATTTAAGTTTATTATGAAACTCTCTGTCGATTTCCTCCTTGTTAAATTGTGCATTTGCACTTTCAAAGTCAAAGTCTTTCTCAAATTTCATTGGACCATCTCGACGGATACCAAATCTTCCCCTGCCACCTCGATGTCCCCCACGTCCTCTCCTTGGAGCAGAAGGAACACCTGGAACTATGGTAAGAAAGAGTATTTATAACAGACATTCAGTATATAGCAGCTGGTTTAGAACAGTACTATGGTCTTTGAATGAAACAATCTGCAAAATAAATGTTTAAAGGTCTCTATACAGATAGTATATATGTATTTTTATATAAATAAGAAATGAGGGGTGGGGTTGATTCGTAGCATTCACATGGTGGTTCACAACCACTCAGAACTCCAGTTCCAGGAAGTGACTGGTGCCTTCTTCTGACTTCTGCACACACACTGCACACAGACATACATGCAGATAAAGCATACATATACAGATAATAAACATCTTAAAACAACAACAAAACCCCCTGAAATTGGGGCTGTAGAGATGGCTCAGTGGTAAAGGAGCTTGTTGTCAAGTCTGATGACCTGAGTTCAATCTCTGAGACTCATGTGGTAGGAGAAGAGGACTGACTTCCACGGTTGTCCTCTGACCTCCACATCTGTACTGCACATCTGCACAGTGGCACACATCCACAAACAAACAAACAAACAAACAAACTACCAAATAAAGAATGAAACAAACAAAACCAACTCCTGCAAGTTGACCTTTGACCTCTATAGGTGCACTGTGGCACAGACATGCCCAGAGAAAAACAAACATACAAACAAACAAACGTCAAGACACAAAAAATTAAGTTGCTTAAAGTTAGTGTGTATATTAAAAAACAAAACATAAAAGTTTTTTATGTAATTTTTATATAGTTGTATCTATGAAGACCACAACAAAGAGGTGTATAATCAACAGACAGATCTGGAGCCTTCTTCACTATATTAACATAGAAGAAGCTCTGTTCTTTCTGCCATGTCCCTCATACCATACCCAAAGTGTCAGGTCCTTTGTGGAAAGCATAACAGGAAACTTAGCACAGACTGTAAGGTAGGAGATGTTTTTCTCAAAATTCAGATAAAACAACAGACAAGAGAAGCACCCATTTTTAATGGCTCCAAGCACTTCCTGCTTTTACGTTTTTCCCTTTAAGTGGCTCCACTTATTCAAGTCTTCTGGATCTATGTATTCTCTTTCTATAACACTGCTACAGGATCTCAATCAATCATCTGAGATACGGTAAAGCAATACAAAGTAGTTTTCATAGTGAAAACTTGGGAACCCAAATATCCAACACACGTGTGACTAAGAAAAAAAACAAAACAAAACAGAATATGGAATAGTACTTGGTGTGAGTTTAACTTTAAAAAATGCAGAACACAAAGCAGGATGACTTTAATGAAGTACAAATCCAATAGTTTCATTAGGTCTAGAGAAGCAGGTATTTTAACACATTCAATTTTATTATTAAAAGCAACTCATTTACATGCCAGGAAACAGGGCATGATTCACCTTAAAGTTCTGCATAAAGAACACCTATTTGGGCTGGAGAGATGGCTCAGTGGTTAAGAGCACCAACTGCTCTTCCAGAGGTCCTGAGTTCAATTCCCAGCAACCACATGGTGGCTCACAACCACTTGTAATGAGATCTGGTGCCCTCTTCAGGCCTGCAGGGACACATGCCGACAGAATACTGTATACATAATAAATTAATAAATCTAAAAAAAAAAAAAGAACACCTATTTGTGTATAATCCAAGGAGAAACTGCAAGAACATTCACTGTTCTGTTAGTGACCCTTAGTGGTGGATAAGGGTAGTGAAACTTTTTAGTTATCTTTTGTTGGTTTTTGTGATACTAGCGACTGGACCTAAGGCCTCTTGGAGGCTAGGCAAGCATTCTACCATTGAGTGCTATCTCCAACACAGGTAGTGAGTTTAGGGACACTCTTAAGACAAATTACTTCACATAATAGTATTTAAAAGATTTATTGTTTTTATTGGTGTGCATCCACATGTAGGTGGCTGCAATCAGAAAGGGGTGTTATGAGACACCAGCTGTGGTGCTAGGAACCAAGCCCTTCTCTGCCAGAGCAGCAAGTGCTCTCGACTGCGGAGGGATTACAGAACTCTGAATGATTCAATACACGGCAATTATTCTAAGAGAGTCACCTGTTTAGACTACTCCACAACACATACAACACAGCAAACCACACAGACACAATAAGCAACCATTCAAGGGGTGAAGGAGGAGGATCTCTTCAGCCCAAGAGGTCCAGGCCAGCCCAGGCCACACAGAGTACCTCAAAACAAGCACAGGAGAAGTGAGCTTAAAAACACTTAAAAACAGCACACTAACAATGAATACAAAGATTCCTTTCTAATCATCATCTAAAAGAAGGAGATTACATGTTACCATTATGTTTTAACTTGGAACAGTTTTAAATTTTGTTTTCCATTAATTGGAAATTAACAAAACATGCTTTTTAAATATTAAATATTGCCAAAGAAAATATAAAACCTTATTCAATCAATAATTATGAAAGAAAATGGAAAGTTCTTTATACAAGCACTTCATTTAAAAAAGCAAAAAGGGACTAGAGAGAAAGAAAGCTCAGGTTTTAGATCCCTTACTGCTTTTAAGAGATGACCCAGGTTTGGTTCCCAGCACCTATAATAGGTGGCTCACAACTATATGTAACTCCAGTTCCAGGGATCCAACAGGCACGTGGTACACATATATGCATATAGGTAAAATATTCATACACATAAAATAAACAAAGCAAAAATCTTTGGGCTGAATCTGCTGGCACATGCCTATAATGCCAGCACTTGGGAGGCAGAATTAGGAGTTGGAGGCCATCCCTGATTTTTCAGTAATTTCCAGGCTAGCTTGGGCTGCATGAGACTATCTTAAAAAAGCAAAACAAAACAAACCCCCAAACTCTGGATTTAAACACTTTTCTTTTTTCTCACTTTAATCAGATTTAGCAAGAAGCACCTTTATCTGAAGAGCTAGCCATCTTGCTGGTGCATTAAACACGAGAGAGAGAGAGAGAGAGAGAGAGAGAGAGAGAGAGAGAGAGAGAGAGAGAGAGAGAGAGAGAGAGAGAGAGAGAGAGAGAGAGAGAGAGACACTTTTTGGGGGGCTGGAAACTGCTGAGAGGTTAAGAGTGCTGGCTGCTCTTGCAGAGGACCTGAGATTCCACCACCCACATGGTGGACCACTGTGGGCACCAGGCACATTGGTAACCATACATACATGCAGGCAAACACTCAATACACATTAAGAAATATTAAAAGGGCTGAGGAGGGATTCCTGAGTGCTGCGGGCCGCAGGAATATATCATAAGAACTCAGCTGGTTATGGCAAAGTCACTACCTGGAGGGATCAGGGAATTCCTCCAGAGGAAGCCAAATCCCAAGGAGTTTTTGGTGTTACTTGGCTTGTTATATATCAGCTGTATTCTGTTATGAAAATCATG